TGCTACATATGGATTTCCAGTTTTCCCAACACCATTTGTTGAAGAGGATATATTTTCTCCAATGTACATTTTTTGGTACTTTTGTCTAGTATGAGATAGCTGTATTTATGTAGGTCTTTCTATGTGTCTTCTGTATCATTTGTCTGCATGTCTGCTTTAGTGCCAATACCATGCTGTTTTTATTACAATGGCTTTGTAGTATAAGTTAAGGTATGGTATTGCAATGCCTTCACTCTTCTTGGTAAGGATTGATTTGGCTATTCAGGGTCTCTTATTTTTTCACAAATGAAATTTATGATTGCTTTATATAATTCTATAAAGAATGTAATTGGGATTTTCAACAGAATTGAATTAAATGTGTATAATACTTTTGATAGTATGGCCATTTTGACAATGTTAATTCTTTCTATATAAGAGCATGGGAGAGAGTTACATCTTCTAAGGTCTTCTTCAGTTTTTTTTTTTTTTTTTTTGTGTTCATAGTTTTCATTGTAGAGACCATTCACCTTTTTTTGATAGACTGATTCCCAATACTTTATTTTTTTGAGGCTATTGTGAGTGGGGTATTTTTCTTAATTTCTCTTTCAATGGATTCATCATTGATGTATAGGAACATGTTTGATATATGTTTGTTGATTTTATATCCTGCTACTTTGCTGAATTCATTTATTAGTTCTAGAAGTTTTCTGGTGGGATTTTTTTTTGATCTTCTAGATACAGTCATGTCATTGGCAAATAGTGGTAGTTTGAGTTCTTATTTTCCTATTCATATCCCTTTATTGTCTTTCTTATGTCTAATTGCTCTGGCTAGAGTTTCAAGGATGATATTGAATAGAAGTGTTGAAAGAGGTCATTATCTTGTTTTTAGAAGGAACGTTTTCAATTTTTCTCCATTTATAATGATGTTGGCCTTGGGTTTAGTGTTTATAGCTTTTACAATATTGAAGTATGTTCCTATTATCCCTAGTTTTTCTAGTGTTTTGAACATGATGAGATGCTATATTTTGTCAAATGCTTTTTTTCATCTATAGAGATGATCATATGATTCTTGTCTTTAAGTCTATTGATGTGATCAATTACAATTATTGATTTCCCTATGTTGAACCAACAACCTTACATCCCTGTGATGAACTGCACTTGATCATGGTGTACCACGTTTAATATGTTTTTGATTGCAATTTTCCAGAATTTTATTGAGAATTTTTGCATCTGTTTATCAGGGTTACTAGTTTGAAGTTTTCTTTCCTTGATATGTCTTTGTCTGATTTTGGTATCAGGGTGCTATTAGCCTCATAGAATGAGTTTGGAAGGGTTCCCTCTTTTTCTATTTCATGGAATAATTTGAAGAGTATTGGTGTTAATTCTTCTTTGATGGTCTTATAGAACTTGGATAAGAATCCATATGATTCTGGGCTTATTTTGATTGGTAGGATTTTTTTGGCATCCTCTATTTCATTGTTTAAAATTGATCTGTTTAAAATTATGTATGTCCTTTTTATTCAGTTTGGGTAGGTCACACATCTTTAGAAGTTTGTTGATGTCTTCAAGATTTTCTATTTTATTGGAGTATAAGTTTTCAAAAATAGTTTCTGATTATCTTCTGTATTTCAATAATATCCATTATAATATTTCTTTTTGTTACTGTTTTTCATAATTTTAGTTTTTTCTCTCTTTTTGTCACCATGGCTAAGTTTTTAATCAATTTTATTTATTCTTTTCACATAACAAACTTTTTTGAATTTTTTTAAATTTCAGCTCTGATTTTAATTAATTCTTGTCATCTGCTGCTTTTGGTATTGATTTTTCTTTTCTAGGGATTAGAAATGTAATGTCCGGTCATTTATTCATTGACTTTCTATTCTTTTAATGAATGAGCTCAGTGCAGTAAACTTTCCTCTTAGCATTGTGTTTATAGTGTCCCAGAGATTTTGGTATGTTGCATCAGTGTTCTCATTTACCTCTAAGTATTTTTAAAATTTTCTCCCTGATTTCTTCTGCTATTCACTCATCATTCAATATCATATTATTTAGTTTACAGGTGTTAAAGTATCTTCTATTTGTTGTTTTATCATTGACTTCTAATTTTATTCCATTATAATATGATAGAATGCAGGGTAGTATCTCTCTCTCTCTCTCTCTCTCTCTCTCTTTCTCTCTCTTTCTCTCTGTATTTGCTAAGAGTTGCTTTGTGGCATATGATATGGCCTATTCTAGGGAAGGATTTGTTTGCTGCTGAGAAGAAGGTGTGTTGAATTATTGATGAATGAAATATTCTATATATGTCCATTAAGTCTAAATTATTAATTGTATTATTTAGTTCTATAGTTTCTTTTTTTAGTTTGCTTGGAGGATCTACCCAGTAGTGAGAGTAGTGTGTTAAAAATCAGCCAATATTATTGTGTTGTGGTCTATTTAGTTCTTGAAATTGGAAGGGTTTTTTTGATGTGCATAGATGCTCCATTGTTTGGGGCATGAGTGTTTATGATTGTTATGTCTTGTTGATGTATTTTTCCTGTAAGCAGTATATGTTATTCTTTTTCCTTTCTTTTTAACTTTGGCTTAAAGTCCATTTTATCTGATATGAGGAAACCCCTGCTTGTTTACTTGATCCATGTGAGTAATATGTTTTTTTTTCCCCATCCTTTTATCTTCAGTCAGTGAATTTCTTTGTCTATGAGGTAAGTCTCTTGGAAACAGCATATTGTTGGGTCTTGTTTTTTGATCCAATCTGCCAGAGTATGTCTTTTGATTAATGAGTTTAGGCCATTAACATTCAGGGTTATTACTGAGATTAATTTGTAGTCCCATGCATTTTGGTTTCCTATTTTTAATTTGACTTAGTTTCTCCTTTGATTGACTTTTCTTTTAGTGTATTTTCTCTCTTTGCTGGTTTTCACTTTTTTCCCCATCTCATCCTCATAGAATATTTTACTGAGAATGTTCTGTATAGGCTTTCTACTTGTGGATTATTTTAACTCTTGTTTATCATGGAAGGTTTTTATTTCATCTTCTGATCTGAAGCTTAATTTTTCTGGATATAGAATTCTTGGTTGGCATTCATTTTCTTTCAGAGCTTGATATATATGATTTCAGGACCTCCTAGCTTTGAGTGTCTGGGTTGAGAAATCAGCTGAGATCCAAGTTGGTTTCCTCTATATGTAATCTGATACTTTTCACTTGTGGCCTTTAAAATTCTATCCTTATTCTGTATGCTAGATATTTTTGTTATAATGTGCCTTGGTGCAGATCAGTTGTTATTTTTCCTATACTTCTATATTGAGATCTGCCCATCTTCTGGAATGACCTTTATTCTTCTGTTGTCTGGAGTACTCTTTTATAGGCTGCTTTTACTGCATTATGTGTCCTGAACAAGGGGTATAACTGTGTGAAAGAAATCACTTAATATATTTACTATGTTTTGAAAACCTCTTACATCATTTTGAGGAGAGTTGATTACCATCTATAAATGTAAATATTTGAGAAAAACTACATTCTAAAAACTCTGAAAAAATATATCAGAATATTTTCTTCCACTCACAGTTTAGAAATGGGCTGGGGCTGGGGATGTGGCTCAAGCGGTAGTGCGCTAACCTGGCATGCGTGCAGCCCAGGTTTGATCCTCAGCACCACATACAAAAAAAACAAAAAACAAAAAACAAAACAAAGATGTTGTGTCTGCCGAAAACTAAATATATATATATATAAAGAATTTAAAGTTACTCCTTGCTGATATATCTGAGATGAAGGGAATTCTTAGTGAACATTCTTACTTTGAATTATGCCAGATATTGGGAGGAATAGTAGATACTAAAGCCTTGATTGCATAATCTCTGAGAGATTCTGGACATGAGGGTAGCAAAAAAACACACTAGCCTTCTCAGCAGTATACTTAGCTCTTGACCTGTATAGATCTGTCTTCTTCATATTCTTCTTTAACTCTCAGGTTCTTGTACCTATCCATGCCAACCTCACCTGCCCACCTCTGGCACCATCTTGTGTGGTTTCCATGTTTTAATGACATTCCTGGATGCCTAAAAAATTTTAGGATGGTTTGGTGGAATTACCTAAATTTCTTCAGCCCTGTTGCCTATGTTTTCCCTGACTGGGAGAGAAACATTGTGCTCTGTGTAAAATGCTGTGTCCTTGAGGTTAACTGCAAATATATTAACCTGTCCTTCTCTGGGGCATTTGGGATGGGCATTGTAAAATGCTGTGTCCTTGAGGTTAACTGCAAATATATTAACCTGTCCTTCTCTGGGGCATTTGGGATGGGCCCAATCTTTGGAATCCCCACAACTTCAGCTGGTACTCAACTTTTTTTCTGGGGGTGTGGGGATCAGGAGGCCCTGAAAGACCCATGTAATTAATCACATTGAGTGAAGTGGGTTTGTGTGTAGCCATGCCTCCAGGATTAATAGTAATTAATAGTAATTATCTTTCCCTTTCTCCAGGACAGCAACAGTAGCACTGATTGCCCCATCTGCTGATTCTCTGGGGCCTCAGTGGATGCTCTGAACTTTTTGGGTACAGTTGGGAAGGGTATAAAAGGCCCCTATACTAACTATGCAGTGGAGAAGCAAGTGTCCTGGCCTTCTCTGCATTGGCAGTTGATTCTGAAAGTCCCACACTACAACTTGCCTTGAGTGCAGAGGGTGTATATGCATCTGTAAACTTGGGATTAATAGTAGCTATCTCTCTGACCCTTATCCTTTAAATTGTACTAGACTGTAGTTGGCATGCAAGGGCCTGCATAGCTCTAAACCACCAGTTTCAAGGGGCCTGCTATTAGTCTTGCATTCTAGAGTACTCAGTGGGTTCATGCCATAGCTCAGTCCTGAATCTGGGATGTTTTGGTCTGAACACAAGCCAAGCAAATGAAAAAAGATGAAAAGGAGGTCATTGGGTCTTGGGGGAGGTTAAAAAGAGGATAAAATAAAAAAGAGAGAAGACAGAAAACTGCAAAGATTTTTCTTTTCTTCTTCTTCTTTTTAACAATACAGGATTTATTGGTGTGTGGGTGATTAAGAAGGGAACAGCACAATGGAAGCCTTCATGAATGCAGGGCTTGCCACTTGTCCAGAGGACCACAACTGAGGATATATTTGACCCCACAGCCATCAAGAATGAGCCACTTCTCAGCCATCATGTCTTCAAATTTGCCAGCATTAAATTTGGTAAAGTAAAGCCCCACTTCTTTGAGATGTGGATCTTCTGGCAGCCAGGGAACTTGAACTTGGCCCTGCATAGGGCCTCAATCATATGTTCCTTGTTCTGCAGCTTGGTGCGAATGGACATGATGACTTGGCCAACTTGAACCCTGAAACCCCTGTTCTCTGGGGTTTCCCAAAGGCACCCCTCATACCTATTTGAAGTCTAGATGGGGGACATCATGATATCAGAAATATGAACATATACTCAAAGTGCTGTCTCCAAGGTCCTTAGGGCAACCCATATGAGCAACAGGCTGCATACACTACCAAGGAGATTGCTGTTTGCAGCCATTGCACACTGGGCCACCACAAGTAAAGGAACCCAGTCAGCTTAATTAGATGCAGATGCAAAGAGTTTTGATCCTCCATTCAGAAAGCCTGGATAATGGTTTTAAGATGGTTCTCCTTCCTAGCAATCACCAGCTCTGGCGGGAAGTGCAGGTCCTATTTTGAGTCATGCTGTTCATTATGTTGTATTTAAACCTCTGCTCAAACTTCCTATCTACTCAATGTTGGAGTCTGTAATTCCTTTTTTTTTTAAAAAAATATCTTTTTAGTTGTAGTTGGACACAATATCTTTATTTTATTTATTTATTTTTATGAGGTGCTGGTGACTGAACCCAGGGCCCTGAACATGTGAGGCAAGCTCTTTACCACCGAGCCACAACTCCAGCCCGGAGTCTGTAATTCTTAAAATCTTTATAATTTTTTCTTTTCTGCATTCTGAAACCAAAAACAGAAATCAAAAGTGAGCAGAAATAGCTGTAACTTATCAAGTAAACTATACCTAAAGAGAAATGTAAAAAGACAAAGAACTCTACTATGTATTGATTGACAAGAAGTTATAATGAATATAAATATATAAACACTGATTATGATGTGGAACTGTCCCCAGAATGCCCATTTCTTTTAAATATTTTAGTTGTCAATGGACCTTTGTTTATTTATTTATATGTGGTGCTGAGAGTCAGACCCAGTGCCTCACACATGCTAGGCAAGTGCTCTACCACTGAGCCACAACCCAGCCCCAGAGAATGCCCATTTATTAAAGGTCTGGTTAACAATTTGTGGCAAAATGGGGGAGGTGGTGGAATCTTTAGGATATGTAGTTTAGTGAAAAGAAGTTTGATCACTGGGTTCATATTCCTTAAAAGGGAATATTTGGCTCAAGCCCCCCCCTCCTCTCTCTCTTTCACTTTTTGATTGCCTTGAAGTGAGAAATTGCCTCATCACAAGCTCCTGCCATGATATTCTGCTTTGTCAAAAACTCCAAAGCAACAAGACAACCAAACATTGATTGAAACCTGCAAAACTGTGAGCAACAAAAATTTTTCTCCTTTAAGTTGATTATCTCAGGTATTTGTCACAGTGTCAGAAAGAAAGTGACTAACACAACACATAAAGCTTAAACACACAATTTTTTAAAACAAACATTATTACATCTGTAACAGAGATAAATTCTAAAACAATAGTGGGAAGCCTCAGTTTCCCACTTTCATCAATGGGAAGATCATTCAGAGAAAATATTAACAAAGAGATATAAGAGTTAAACTATATTACAGACCAAATGAACCTAAAAATACTACAGAAGATTTCATCAAATAGCTACATATTATATATTCTTCTCATCAGGAAATGAAACATTCTCTAAAGTAGATCATATATTGGGTCACAAAACAAATTTCAAAGAAATAAATCTCACATAATTTTCTTATGTACACATATGAAAATACCTAAATGAATCTCACTATCATGCCCACCCAGAAGAATGCAGTCCTAATTAGAATGATATACCCATGCTTGTATAATCATATCAAAATGGATTCTACTATCATGTATAACTAATAAAAGAGTAACCAATAAAATAAAAAACAGTAAAAATTTATTATATTTTTTAAAACCACAAATGGAGTAAAACTAATAATCAACAACAGATAAAACTTTAGGAATTATATAAAGAATAAACAATAAGTTATTGAACAGTCACTAAAGCAACTAAAAGGAAAATTAGGAAATTCATTAAAAATTAAGATGAAAATATAACATATTCAAATTTACAGTATGTAGTAAAAGTAGCTATAAGATGAAAATTTGTGGCAATAAAGATCTACATAAAATAATAGAAATATATCAAACAAAAAATTTAAGCATCTCAAGAACCTTGAAAAAGAAGAAAAAATCAACCAAAATTACTAGGAGAAAAGAAATAAAGAACACAGAGGGAAAAGACACAAAAATAGAGACAAAAAACCCACAAACATCAATGATGTGAGTTGTTTTATTTCTGAAAGATAGACAAATTTGACCAACATTTAAATGAGTCAAGAAAGAAGTAAGCTGGGTGTGGTGGAACACGCCTGTAATCCCAGGAACTCATGAGGCTGAGGAAGGAGGATTGTGTGTTCAAAGCCAGACTCAGCAACAGCAAGGCACTAAGCAACTCAGTGGGACCCTGTCACCAAAATACAAAATAAGGCTGGAGATGTGGCTCAGTGGCCAAGTGCCCATGGGTTCAATCCCTGGCACCCCCCCCCAAAAAAAAAAGAAAGATGTGAGAAGACAAAAATAAATAAAAGATGAAAAAGAATATATTATTACAGATACCAGAGAGAAACAAAGGAACAACCATATACTAACAAACTGGAAAACCTAGATGATATGGATGTGTTTGTGGACACATATATCCTATCAAGTTAAACCGGAAAGCTATATAAACCTGAGAAAATCATTAAAAAAATGACATGATGAAATAATAGTAGAATATCTTTGTGGAAAGAAAAGCTTAGAATTGAATGTTTTCACTCAAGAATTCTATCAAACACTTAAGAAAGAACTGACATCAGTGGATTAGACAAAGGGGAATGAAGGAAGGGAGAAGAGATAGGAATAAGAAAGACAGTAGAATGAAGCAGACATAACTTTCCTATGTTCATATGTTAATAAATGACCAGTGTTACTTCACATCATGTCAATCACAAGAATGAGATCCTAATTAGAATAAGGTATGTGTGTATATATATATATATATATATATATATATATATATAAATACATCCCGTTGTCATGGTATCTAGAAAGAACAAATAAAGCAAATTAAAAAAGAAATAAATGGCAGAAAATATTAAAGAAAATACATAAATATATGAAGATTGAAAGATATTCTTTTGAATGGGGAATGGATCATGGAGGAAATGAGAGAAGAAATAAAGAGAATTCCTAGGGGCTGGGATTGTGGCTCAGTGGTAGAGCACTTGCCTAGTGTGTGTGAGGCACCAGGTTTGATCCTCAGTACCACATAAAAATAAAAAAATAAAATAAAGGTATTTTGTCTATCTACAACTAATATATGTATATTAGTTGTATATATATATATATTTCCTAGAATCAAACGAGAATAGTGATATAATATACCAAAATCTCTGAGACACTATAAATGCTCTCCTAAGAAGAAAATTTATAATCTTAAATGCCCACACTAAGAAAGTAGGAATAAGTGAAGTTAGCCAATCCCCCCAAAACAAATGCTTAATGTTTTCTCTGATATACGGAGGCTGATTCATAATGGAATTGGAATGGGGAGCATGGGAAGATTAGAGAAACTCTAGATAGGGCACAAAGAAGGGGAGGGAAGGGAGTAAAAAAAGATGGTGGAATGAGATGGACATCACTACTCTAAGTACATGTATGAAGAAGATACGAATGATGTAAATATACTTTGTATACAAGCAGAGATATGAAACATTGTGCTCTATATATGTAATATGAATTATAATGCATTTTGCTGTCATATATAACAAATTAGAATAAAAATTTTTAAAAAGAAAGTAGAAAGATCATAAATAAACAATCTACTATTACATCTCACAGTCCTAGTAAAGCAGGGACAAACTAATGTCCAAATTACAAGAAGATGGTGAATAATTAAGATCAGAGCCAAAATTAATGAAACAGAGAATAAAAAATACAGAAAATCAATAAAATGATGAGGAGTAGTTTGATTTCTAAGACTGATAAACTCTTAGAAAAACCAACCAAGAAGAGAGAGAAATGGGCAGGCACAGTGGTACACACCTGCAATCCCAGCAATCCCAGCAATGCAGGAGGCAGGAGAATCACAAGTTTGAGAAACCTAGTGAGGCCCTAAACAATTTAGCAAGACATTGTCTCAAAATAAAAAATAAAAAAGGGCAATGACCCAAATCTCTGTGAAATGCATTCTATCATGCTATCTCATCCGGGTACCAAAACCATTTATTACATCAAGATAAGAAAACTGTAGAACAATATTCTCAATGAACCTAAATGCAAAACTTCTGAATAAAATATCAGGAATCTACATTTAAAAACACTCTAAGAAGATTGTACATCATGATCAAGTTGGTTTCATTCAAGGAATGCAAGGTGGGTTCAACATATGCAAATCAAAAGGTGTTAATTCATCATATAAATAGAATTAAGGACAAGAATCACATGAGTATTTTAATTGATGGAGAAAAAACATTCAATAAAATTTAGCACCCTTGGACTGGGGCTGTGGCTCAGTGGTAGAGCACTTGCCTAGCACATTTGAGGCACTGGATTTAATCCTCAGCACAACATAAAAAACTAAACAAATAAAATAAAGGTATTGTGTCCATTTATAACTAAAAATATTTTAAAAAATTAGCACCAATTTATGTTAAAACACTGGAGAAAACTAGGGATAATGGAAGTTTTCTCAACATCATAAATGTATATATATATATGTGTATATATATATATATGTATATATATATATATAAAACACAAACTAACATTACACTGAAAGGAGAAAATCCCAAATCATGTCCTCTAAAATCAAGAACAAACAAAGGATATCTACTGTTACCATTCCTGTGCAATATAGTACTTGGAACTCTAGCCATAAGAGTCAGGCATGAAAAGAAAATTAAAGGGATAAAAATAAAAAAAAATAAGTCAAACTG